CAGCCAGTGAAGAACCCCAAATGGAAGGTGCAAGATCTTTTTATCTCTATTTTAGTATGTAGATATGCACAAATGTGTGCCTTAGGTCTACATGTAAACTTCTACCTACACACACGTTTGTATGTTATGTACTTCCTACCTCACTGATACAGGGAAATTTTCACTTTTTATTTCTTTATATTTATTGCTTATTTGTTTGTGGGTGGGAGCAGAGTGCAAGCAGTCACAGCACACAGCAGCTACAGGGTCTAGCTCAGGCTGTCAAGCTTGCCAAGGGATAGTTTCACTTGCTGGGCTGTCTTGCCCATCCCTAAATACTTTTTAAATTTAAACAACTTTGAAAAATGGTAATATCCAAGTCTGTATGTTTATAAAGCTCTAAGTTCATGTTACAATAAATGAAATACCACATGTGGTGGTATATGCACATAATCCCTTCACGTGGAAGGAGACGGCAGGACAGTCAGGAGTTCAGGGTCTACATGAGATCTCAAAACAACTACAAAGTCATGTATATGGAGCTAAATCATGTACAGTTGAGGTCTGAATCATTCCTAAATGAGTTAAAATAATAAAACATCATTGATCATGTTTAAATTTTATATGCTTTAGCATTTTGCTTTATTACTTCAAACAAGTTTAAATATATTGGGTCTGTCCACATTCAAGGGTTGTTAGAAAATCAGCGCATACTTTATAGATGTTGTAAGCTGTTGTACAAGGTGCTGACACAGGACTGCTAAGGGTAATGACTGAAACTCCAAGTAAAAGGGGAACCGCTGCCTTGGAGGAACGTGAGGTGTGTTTTTAAAAGGAAGTTATAAATACGGGGATATAATTTGAGACAGCTCTTGCTCTGCAGCCCAAGCTATCCTGAAAGTATGTTGCCTGGTCTGTATTCCAACTCAATACCCTCCCACCTTCTGCTCTGCCTCCTGCCTGCTGGTGTTACAGGCATGTGCCCCTACACCAGGCCAAGAAAGTGCTAATTTTTATTTGAGAGACTCCTGTGTGGCAAGGACTCCTGTGTTGACAAGGACAAAGGGCTGGGGAGATGGCTGAGCAGTAAGACACTGGCTGCTTATCCAGATGACCTGGGTTTGATTCCCAGTTCCCAAGTGAAGACTCATAGTCACCTGTATGTCCAGTGCTGACATCCAGTGCTCTCTTCTGGCCTTTGAACAGAAACCACACACACACACACACACACACACAAGCACTGAACAGACACACTTGCAAGCCAAGCCAACTACACACATGCACATGAACAACCTGGACAAATCTCACCCTGGCACCAAGGGACCAGGACTAAAACACAGGACGGTTGATCAGCAATGTCTTCAGAGAAAATTGTTCAGAGATGAGGGATGAAGTGGTCAAACAAGACAAGCACACATGGGAAGGAAGAAAGGAGGAAGCAAAGGGAGGGAGGGTGGGAGGAAGGAAAAATAGAGTTCATTGTGTCAGTCCTACCCAAAGCTGATAGGTTACAAAGAACAGGTTCCTTTCCTTTAATTTTATATGTACAGTCATTTAACGTTTATTTTTATTTTGTGTGCATGGGTGCTTTACCACATGCATGTCTGTTTGCCATGTGTGTGCAGTGCCTATGGATGCCAGAGGAGGCAGGACCACATAGGATCCCCTGGAACTGGAGTTACAGATGCTGTGAGCCACCATGTGGTTGCTGAGAAATTAATGCAGGTGCTCTGGAAGAGCAAGCAGTAGTCTTTATCACTGAGTCATTTTTCCAGACCATTATGTGAACGTAAGTGCGCCATGTGTCTAGGATGCCCTGGAGGTCAGGAGAGGTGTTGAGTCCGCCAGAACTGGCATTATAAACAGTTGAGAGCCATCAGATGGACTGGCTCTCTGCAAGAGTAACAAGTCTCTTCGCTGCTGAGCCATGTCTCCAGCCCCCAAGGAAGAGGCTCTTGTGCACGGTGACCCAACAGAGCTCGGTGCCTCCTGACTCCGGCCTCTCCATGCGAGTTGCTTACTTCCTGCAGGCACAGACTATTTCAGGATTTTCTCATCCGTCTCCCAATAGATGGCATCTGAACCCCTAAGGAACAGGGATTGGAAAGAAGAAAACTTTCTGTAGGGAATCCCATTCACACGTGAGAACAGCCCAACACTGTGGCAGCGCCTTCTCCTGGTTAACCCTTCTCACATGCATCCCTGGCCTTGGATTCCTCTTTCTCTATACCCTCTAGCCCTGCTGCAGACACAGCAATAAGAAGTCAGAACCTCTCTCCTCCCAGTGCTGTACTAATTCCTATCTCCCGTTGGATCTCAGTCAGTCACAGCTAGTAAAAACTGAAAAGCCCTGTGTTCTCTTCCTCCCTGATTACTGAAGAAGTTTCTCAATGTTGAAGGAGCTGAGCTTTGGTTAAAACTTATTTTCCTTAAATTTATTGTTGTTCTGAGTGTATGCTGTCACAGCATGCAAGCAGAGGGCAGGGGACAACTCTGTGGACTCAGTTCTCTCTATTCACTTTTATGTGGGCGCCAGGTATCAAATGAAGGTTGACAGGCTCCTGTGACAAGCAGCTTCACCCTCTGAGCCATCTTATAGGCCCCCTTACATTTTTATTGTGATTGATTAAATGATTAACCAAGGTCATGCTTGATCAATTATCTTAAACCCCTCCGTCTTTTAAACAGATATCTCCAAATCAAATTCTAAACACATTGAGATCTCTAGAGGGCACCTGAAAGCTCAAAAGACTTGTACCTGTATAAATATATTATTATCATGTATTCCAAATGGTATGAGAGTTCTGGAATCAGATACATCTTGAAAGCTTTCAGTCATAATTGTAATGATAAATTCTTTTGATTCCTTAAGAAATAACCAAGCCAGCTATGGTGGGTGGTATATGCCCATGTTCCTGGTGGTCAGGACACTGAGACAGAGGATCTGCTCCAAGTTCAAGGTCAACTTGATCTACATGGTGAGTTCCAGGCCAGTCTGGCAGCTACATAGCAAGCAAGATCCTGTCTTTAAAAAAAAAAGTTGTCCAGGGCTGGTGAGATGGCTCAGTGGTTAAGAGCACTGACTGCTCTTCTGGAGGTCATGAGTTTAAATCCCAGCAACCACATGGTGGCTCACAACCATCTGCAATGAGATCTGATGTCCTCATATGGGTGTCTGAAGACAGCGACAGTATACTGGAAGGAGCAGAGCAAATGGGGCCTGGAGCAAGAGGGAGAAAGGAAGGGGTGAGGGAAATAAAAAATAAAAAAAGTTGTCCATAGTGAAGCTCCTTTATTCTGATACCTATCCCTTCCCCTTCTCTCCCCCTCACTTCTTCTCTCCCTCCCTTCTGCCCACCGCCCTTTACCTAAAAGCCCAACAGGTTGGATCTTCCAAGAAAAGGTTGTAGAGACAACGGAAAGAATTCTGAAAGCTAAAGGTTTTGCTTTGGGGGTATGCTTTATACCCCCAAACCTCACAGACACTTTTCTTACATCAATCAAAATAATAAATGGATCCTGTAGTAATAAGCACTCAGGCACGCCCCATCCCTCAAACTACACACATCTTTATATGTCTTAAGGCAAACCCTGAAACTATTTGCACGCTGCTATACAGACAAGAGTACATTAAGTTCTTCCTAGGGTAGTCTAGTAGTGAGAATTAAGTTCATCAGCAAACTCCTTTACGAAAAAGGCCCACAGAGTCTCAGGCTGCCTGTTCTACCTCGAGAGCACATTGTAGGATGGATACCTAATAAGTCACAGGGGAAGGAAAGAGCCGTCTGAAGCGTACTGTAGGATCTTATCCTGCTGGTCTTATTCCCAGCCCTGACACCACTAGATAAAGAGCCTCAGTGAAATATCAACATATTCTCCCTCAGTTGTTTCCTTCACTCCTGCCTCCCCTCCCCTCCCTTTCCTTTTCTCATAAGTTTTCAGTTATAATTGTGGTGGTTTGAATACGTTTGGCCCAGGAAGTGGCACTATTAGGAGGTGTGGCCTTGTTGGAGGAAGTGTGTCACTGTCGGAATGGGCTTTGAGATCCTTCTCCTAGCTGCCTGGAAGACAGTCTTCTCTTGTTTGCCTTTGAATCAAGACGTAGAACTCTTAGCTCCTACAGAACCATGCCTTCCTGGACACTGTCATGCTTCCCATCATGATGATAATGGACTAAACCTCAGAACCAGTAAGCCAGCCCCAATTAAATGTCCTTTATAAGAGTTGCCCTGGTCATGGTGTCTCCTTACAGCAATGGAAACCCTAACTAGGACAATTGTAACGATAAATTTTGATTTCTTAAGAAATTCTTAAGAAATACAGTATCTCACTATATAGCCCAGACTGGCCTCAAACATGTAGTCTATCTGCTTCCCAGTGCTAGGATTAAAGGCATGTGTGATTAAGCCTGGCTTCACCTAATAAGCTCTAATATAATATCTAAAAAGAACTCACACAAATAGAGATTTACCTATGTGGTTCCAAATTATGGAATACAGTTCCACTATCAATTTCAGCAGTTAAGGGGGCCTTGTGGGGAGCCGGGCCTCACATCTACCTAAAGTCTCGTTCATCTGTGAATCACTTTCACAACATTACCGTTTAAAACACAACCCATGGGCTGGAGACATGCCTTGACGGATAAGGGCACTTCTTGGTCTCCCTGTGCAACCTGTAACTCCAGCTCCAGAAATCTGAAGCCCTCTTCTGGCGTCCATGGGCACTGGACTCATGTGGTATACATATTCTCTCTCTCTTTTTCACACACACACACACACACACACACACACACACACCCCTTTAATCACAGCACTCAGGAGGCAGGAGCAGGCAAATGCATTATTCCAGGCTACACAGTGACACCCTATCTAAAAAAACAGAAAGAAATAAATGACCACACACAACTCAACCCCCCATGACCCTCAACGCCACAAACACCCCACACCCGCCAAAAAAAAAAAAAAAAAAAAAACCCTCTCCATTTCCCCACCTACCTTCTTCCAAGGAGAGAAAAGCTGAGATCAGTCGGAAAGGCTTTCTGAGAACAATGGTCTGGCCTTCTGGGTCTGCTCCAGTCGATTCAAGATGAACTGGCTCGTATCGATGAAGCGCTCGACGCAGTTCACTAAGCAGAGCTCGGCCCGGCCATCCAGCTTGGGCCCAGGCCTGTCCATGCACTTCTCCCAGCAGAGCTCCGTCATGTGGTGGATGAGCAGCTGCACCCGCTGCTTCTGCACCTCCACCTCCATGAAACGCTGCAGGTGTGGGTCTGTAGATCCCAGGCTGCCTCCCGAGGAAGACCAAGACGACTCCATGCCAGCAAGCAAGGACCGGAAGTGATATCCACCAGGCGTCCGGCTAGGGAACAGGAACCGGAAGTATCATGGCTGACTCAGGCCCACCTAGGAAGCATTGCCCTTTTAGTCCGCTGGCAGCTCCTCCTGGCTCCGCTTATCTTAGTTAAGATTTGAAAGCAACTCTTGAATTAACACTATTAGACCCCGCAAGGCTTTCCAGGTCATTAATGAACAAACTGATGGTTTTATAAAATGCCAATCAAAGTCAGGCTGAATAAAGAAGACAATGAACCGAGGAAGCAATGTTTTTGAGACCTTTGGCTAAACCCGTTGGTTAAATTCTCCAAGATAAAATTTGACTGGATTTTTTGAAGAAACAGAGGGCTACAGACCATTCTCAGAAAGTGTTTCTGACTGATGGCGCTCAATTCTAATTGGTCCTAACTTTTACCGGGTCCTACTAGATGACAAAGTCTCCCTCCATTTTCAACCCTGGACAGATTGTCGTCATCCTTACCTCAGTCTCCTCAGTCTCCTAGACATCAGGTGGGGTGTCACTCCTGAGGAGCAATCCTGATGTCAGGATTTCAGATTGCTCTTTCTTGTTCTGTTTCCAACATTCCAGATTGGGGGAGAAGTGGAAGAAAATACTAACGGATACCATGAACACACTTGTCTGACTTCAGCCTCCTGCACGCCTGTTGCCACCCGCACATTTGGTCCTGGCCTTCTAACTGAAGTCTCCTCTTCTTTCCTGTGGGGCATGACCACTGAAAATAAGCCTTTTACAGGATGTGAGACCTTCAGCTCTTTAATCTTAACCTTTAAGAAGATTTTGGTCAAAAAATGGGAAACAAAGAGGGATTGAAAAATGTCACTATGTTGGCAACAAGCCAAAAAAACTTATTCTAAGTACTCTGTTTTCAGACTCCATTTAAACACAGGGAGAAATTAAATTCAAGGTTTTGGACCCTTGTGGAGCTGGGGACGTCCCTATAGCTGAACAGCTTCTGTTGTAAACAGTTGTCTGAGTCCAGACATCTCAGATACAACTTGTAAGGAGACAGTTGTCTGAGTCCAACTATTTCAAGGACAGCTTCTCCATCTTGCTGGCAGGGTCAAACCAGTTCATATTTCCAGTCCTAGGAACGAACACCTATCCCACTTCTCCAAACGCTTTCTTAACTGTTAACCAGTAGAAATTGCTGTTATCTAAACCAAGGTGCACAAGTTGTAAAAATACATAACCAATTCCCTGTTATGCCCTAATTAACTACATGCTGCTGGGTCGATCCTTTGCCCCCTTATCACAATGAGATCAGGACCTAATAATGTCCAGGGGAATGAATCAAGGACCTTGAAGCCAGGTCCCCTGGATATGACCCAGTCTCCAATGGGTTCTCCTTTGCTTGACCCTTAATGTCAAAATACAATTGGATAACACTGCAGCTCCCCCAGGTCACCCTTTGCCTGATGTTCCCATCTTTTAAAAATGTACAATCTCCCTTCAGGGATTCAGTTAGAGCTGGCCGCCTCACAGAGCGCTCAGAAAATAATGCTTTCATTTTTAAGCTTCTGTATATGAAGTGAGTTTTCTTGGTTTCCATCCTGAACCCAACAGCTTGGAAGGCTGGAGATGGTTCTGATGTTAGAAACAACTGAAGTTCTTCCAGAGGACTAGAATTAGTTCCCAGCACCCACATGGCAGCTCACAACTGTCTGTTCCAGCTCCAGGGGATCTGACACCATCTCTGACTTCTGTGGGCACCAGGCATGCAGGTGATGCACAGACATACATGCAGCCAAGCATTTGAAATACGTTTTTAAAAATTTTAAGAAAATGTCACAAGAAAAAGTCATAAAGTTCTTCAATCTATAGAAATACAAGAGACCCAGTTAGGCAGGTTTCTGGAGACTTGGATGCCATAAAGGTAAGGAATACAACCATCACACTTGTCATCGAACAAGAGAACATTCTTTTAATTTTTTGCAGCAGTTCTGGTGACTGAATCCAGGGCTCCTGCATGCTACACAAGCACACTATCATTGAGCCACATGCCCGCCCAACCCTTTCCCCTATTTACATCTGTAAAACTGTAAGACTAACACCTTTGGGGTGCCATTTGGGAACTTCCTCTGGGCAATTAGAATTCTTGTTTTCTCCTTGGGTGACTCTCCTCATCTTGACTGAGACAAACATTTTTTGTTCTCTTGAAGGTGCCTTGGTTGGCCTTTTCAGGTTGTTACTTATGTATATGCATGGACACAGGCACTTGGCAATCACGTTCATTCACACTCACGAACTTAGTGTGTGCCTAGTTCACACTGGCTCCCCAGTAAATGCTTACTGGATGAAAAATGGGTGTACACAATATGAGGGGGCATCTCATAATATCTTGCCTTTATTGACTTCCTAGGTGGCACTGTTTAACAAAGGGATTGATTCTAACTGGCTCGAGGCCATGAAAGACATTACTTACCCGAGTTTGTGATGTTTGTCAGCCATTTATCTGTAAAACTTGTTTCAGCTCTTCCATATGCAGGCAGTAGGGAAGGAAATGTATGGCTATTTGGGAGTTTTTTAAATCTAAGTTATCTTTGACTGACCTGGAATTTGGAAGGCATCATTTGGGGCCTCAATTTACAAATGGGAAAAGTCCATAGGAGTTTGGGGTATGTTGACACATTGTAGCCTGCGGGAAAGCAGAGAACTTGAGCAGATATGCCTAGTCACATAGCCATGCATGCTACTCAGACCAGGTCATAGAACTGGCTGCTGACAGAATTGGGTCTTATTCGGGGTTCAGCGCAAGCCTCTGAAGAAACAGAAACAGTCACGTTTCAGCGACATCGGAAGCACAGTCCTAATCAATGGATGTGTGAAGTCTTCTCTTATTAGCCAGTGCTCTAGCAGGGCAAACCATTTTCTGTGAAATGGAAAGAAGAGAACAGTGGTGCCCACAGAGCAGCCCAGCCTCTTTTACCTTTCCCTGCTGGTGAAGAGACAATTTAATTTGCACTAGAATGACAGTTAATGGATGTCTGGGTTGCAAGTGTGTCTTTCCAGCTCCATCAAGTCACCAAACCACACAGCCCAGGGAGTCTGGAGCCAGGGCTCCTTCCTGCTTTATTGTCTTACTGCTCCCAGTCAGAAAACAGTTACTGCTCTTGAATTTCCTAGCACTAGTGGCTTGGTTGTTACATATACAGTATAAATCTGTCTGTGGGGGGCTCAGAAATGGAGCAGAAATGCAGCAGGCCTCCTGGGGTGACTTTGCCCCTCATACTCCCTGTTACCCACAAAGCCTCTACTCTAAGTAAGGCAGCATCCTGAAGCAGAGAGATCACCTTGTCTGGCACCCTGTTGTTTGTTTGTTTGTTTGTTTGTTTTTTAGCAGGGTTGTAAAGGAAGGAAGCTAGAGAGTCTAGCACCGTGCTTGAACGGTTCCTTTTCCACAGAAGGGCATGCACATGGACACCTCCCATGCTTGCAGATAGGAGAGTGGCTGGCTGCTCAGCAGGTCTTTGTTGACATCCTTGTGTGTTCACTGCCCTTTGGTGAGCGAGGTGAGCTAGCAGGGACCATCTTGGGTACAGGTAAGGTCTTCAGTCAGCTTGCAGATGTCCTTTCATTACCTTGCTCTTGGTTCCAGCCCTCTCTGGTCCTGCTGTGCTGCTCTCCTAACCTAACTCTGCTCAGTAAATCATGCCATTCTCTCTGGAAGCACGGGCCAGAGTCTAATCTCATGCCATAGAGCAAAACCTGCTGATATGTCCAGAATGGCTCTCTGGGTTGTATTTGGAGGAGACACTTGAGAGGACTTCTGGAAGATCTTCCGATAGTTCTTCCCACACACGATTGCATTATTGGTAATCAATCGCCTCTGAAGAGAACTGTACCTTACCCTTCCCAGTCACACACCTGTGGCTCTCAAAAGACAGGTACTTTTTGTGGGAAGGAAATGACGAGAGAGTAACTTCATAGTAAGGCTTCAGTGAGCAGTACTTCCCAAGAGCAGAATGCCATACAGGGAGAGTGGAAACTTTCGAATTACTGAGGGAGAAGCATGAGCCGAGCTGGGTGCAAAGAAGGGGTGAGGAGCACACCTTTGACAAGCCTGGGGCAAGAGCTTACAGCACACCAATCTGATGGCCAGCCCTGGAACTGGTCATGTAATACTCTCTTTTCTGAGGTTTGTACCAACACCAAGAAGCACAAGAGCAGAAGACCCCAATTGAGAGTTAGGTGGCCCCGGTCTGAGGTTTAAGGTCCCACAAGCTTGGTGGCTCCTGCTTTGGATCTCTGACTATTCAACCCATGCCAACTTCCCTACACCCATAGCTATTGAGGCAGCTCTCCCTGGGTGTGACTCTGCTGTGTCTTCCAGCAGGGCACAGCATCCTAAGCAATGTCTCACGCCTAGAACTGTGCCCCAGACTCCACTGTTGGAGAAGCAGCATACATGAGTCCAGTGAGTTCCTATCCAGGGGCAGACACACAAGGAGGGGCAAGGGTTGCGGGTTCTGCAGAGGTGGGAGGCTTCAGAGGACTTGTGGCAAGACTCCAGGGAAGAATAGTCTGTGGACAGTGAGAAGGGGCCCAGGATGTCAGGTTGAGGAAGTGAACAATGGAGGTAGTATGTCCTGAGGCGGAACCATAGGAAAAACCAAATAGGGGGACCAGGCACTTGAGCAGTGAGCTCAACCAAGATGAGGCCAAACCAAGTCAAGAAACGGAAACAAGTTATCCAGTGGCCCTGGGAGAGCATTCCGTGTGCACTTAGGTTGATTCTGGACGGTGAATGGATTTGTGACTTAGACCCTTCTGAACTGAACCTGGCCTTTGAACAGTTCCCCTTCCTGCACCAGGCCTGCTCACGCCTCCTCCCCACACTATGTACTGAAACTCAGTGTGGTTTGTGAATGAATTATTCAGGGAAGGAAGGGTAGAGGAAGAAGAACCACCCTCTTAGTCATAGCTGGCAAACCCCAGGGTAGACACTGGTATGCTCTGTAGA